CTGCGCCTGACTTATTTCACTTAACAACCTTTGAAACAAATGACAACACCAGACTCCTTTGGGGGGGAGGGCGGGTGCATACAATTTCACTGTGTCTGAATGCTGCTTTTCTTTATCCATTCAATCAATGCACCACTGTTGGCATTTTCCATTTTTAAAGCTAGAGCTCAGCCAAGTGTGGTGGTGCACACCTGTAATGCCAGCACACAGGAGGTAGAGGCGGGAAGATCAAAAGTTCAAGGTCAGCCGCAGCTGCATAGTGAGTTCCAGGGCGCATGAAACTCTATCTCATAAAGCTAAATGAGAGGCAGAGGAAATGGCTCAGTGGGGAAGGGTGCTTGCAGCGCTTAAGGGCTTAAGTTCAGATCACCAGCACCCACAGAAAAGCTGGCATGGCTTTATATGCACCTGCAACCCCAGCACTATAAGGGGCAGAGACAGGAAGATTGATAGAGCTTGCCGTCCATAAGCCTAGCTCCCAGTTCAGTGAGCGACCCTATCTTAAAGGAATAAGGTGGAGTGCCAAACCACAGCACCCAAGACCCTCCTTTAGCATTTGTGCTTAAGCATGGGCACCCTCCCCACATGCATATACATGAGACACACATACATATACACGGCACATACCACATTGCTGTGAGCAGTCTCCTCTGAGATCAAACATTCCCTCCTGCCGGGGAGCTCGTTAAGCAGGGAGGTAAAGAACACAAAAACAGCTTTAGGAAGTCCTTGAAACTGACCAGATTCATTAGGTCCCTTCCTGCATGAGGAAGCACAGCCCAGCTGCAAAGACTGAAACAGAACTGCCTGGAAGAGGTTTAGACCAGAGGAGACATTCTAGATGTCAAGAGACATTTAGACCCTGAAAGGACATTCTCAAAACTGCTGAGCGGCCTGCAGGCTCCAGGGTCCCAGCTTTTGTGAGCTGTCTGTCATCTGTGCTGGGGTGGGCCTTGGTGATGCAGCTGCCATTGAGTTATTTCTGCTCCTGTAAGTAACCACTGAGCTATACTCGTGTAAGTAACCCCAATAAAACCTATTGGCTCACCAAGTTGGACTTTGGTGGTATCTATACTTTGGTCTGTTGTGAGTTCCCTCTCTGGGGTGAAAAGATAAGTGTGTTTCATCTCTCCAGGAAAAGTTTTGCAATAACACACACACACACACACACACACACACACACACACACACACACGCACACGCACACGCACGCACGCACGCACGTGCGTGTGCGCTAAATTAAGCTAAAGATCAAAACAGGAAGAGACGCTGGCTGTTCTTGACCTCCATAAATTCTGATGTTTTTCATCTCATTTCAAGGATAAGGACAAGTCTCTGGTGCCGGGGTGACTTCAATGAGCATTAATGATCTTCAGTTGGAGATGTGTGAACACCTTGGGCTTTCCCAGGAATTTCAAAGGGAGGGCCTTCACTGGGGTCTTAGAATCTTGCACTGCATATGAATGCAGCAGACTGATGTGTCCTTCACTGCTAGCTTCAGGTGTTGGGTTCAAGAATGAAAGCCTTGTTTCTATAGACAGAGGCCCCTCCCCAGGTATTCAGGACGGGGTACAGCATCACCTGTGCTGTGCCTAGGATAAGTACCACTGGGAAAAACTTAGAAGTGGACTGGGATGGAGGATGGAGGCAAAGACTTATGTCAGCAAGCCGGTGAGTGAAGTGTGGATTAAGGCAAATCCATGGACAAGGACATGAATGGATGCATTCAAGAAAAATTCAGAGAAGCAGAATCAACCAGATGTCAGGCCTGGAGCTAAGAAATCGCCAGCAGCCAGGATGTCCCTCCCCCTCACAGGAATCGAGCACTCTGCAGGTGAAAAGCCTCATGACTGCAGCCACCCATCTGTCACTTGGCTCACCTGTCAAGCAACGGTGTTGAAACCTCACTGTCCTGGAAGGAAACAGAACTGCGGACTTCTACCCAGTGCTGAAAAACAGAGGAAGGCACAGAGAACCTCCAGCCAAGGTCAAAGCTGAATGACACCTGGAAAAGGAAACGCTGTGTGCTCTCTGTGTCCCAGACCCGAGTGCTCCGAGGAAGTTTGGATAAATGATACTTACTCTTCTCCTGTCGCTGTTCACTGTGTCTCCCTCAGCTTGCGTCTTGTTTGCTTTAGTGCTTTGCTTGTTTTGTGTTTTATTCTGTTTTGAGACAGGATCTTACTATGTATGCAGGCTACTCTGGAACTCACTATATAGCCCCATCTAGACCCAAACTCATGATCCTCCTGCCTCAGCCTCCTGGGTACTTGGATTACAAGCCTGTGCCACCTTGCCCAGCCCTCATCTTTCACCTTTCTGTCAAGGTTCAATTCTGGAGACGCAGAAGTCAGGTCTAACTCCAGAACCGTCTCCATCATAAGGCTAGCACACCGCTGACCCACAGCAAATGTCAAGGACAGTGAGTGAGGAGCAGGGTGAAGAGTTTGTGAGTCTTATCTCAGGCGGCCTCTGACCAAAGATTATCAAGGAAAGTAGCCCATCCTAGGGCAAAGGGTAAAGGGTGCCTTAGATTCAAAGCAGAAAACCAAGACTATGAATAAACAGCTTCCCCTAAGCTTGGAGAATGGTGAGCTGTAGTTAACTCTGGAACATTCTGGAGCCAAGTTTTATTTAATGATTTCTTATGGCAGGCAAGAGCCAGTCTGAAACACCCACCCACATATCTGTATCTTCTGTCTAGCCCCCCACTTCTCTCCCTCTCTCTCCGGCCCCCTCTCTCAGCTTTACTTCCCATTTTTTCTTCCCATGCTGGGAGTGTCTGGCTTCCAGTCCTCATCTGTCGCAGTATGAACATGAACATGTGTGCAGGTAGTCCCAAACACTTGAGGACATAGGAGAGCCTATCATATTTAAACCCCTCAGGGCTCAGAGAGCTATGTAGAAGGGGGGAAAGAGGAGGCCGAAAGATTGTTAAGAGCACAGAAGAACTATCGGAGACTGGCAGTGGGTACAGGGTCTGCAGAGGTCCAAGCCAGATGGGGTCCCAGTGCTGAGAGGGGGAAGTGGGCATGAGCTCCCATCCCAAACCGAGAAGCCATCTCTAATTGAAAACTGCTTGCAAAGCAACAATTAGTTTTCTCCAATGGAGTCTCACGGGGTGGGATATATAAACCACACCTAAGGGTATATGGCCCATACTCAGTAGTAGATGGCCAATACAAAATGAACTCAATGGTTTTTTTTTTTTCTTATATTGCTTTGTTTGGGTATTTTCCCCCTTACTGATCTTTTGCTTATATATTATGGTTTCTGATTTTGTGTTTTTTGTGTCCCCCCACCCTTGGATTTTTTTGTTCATTTGTTTAAATTCTGGTTTGTTATTTTATTTGCATGTTTGTTTTCTAGAAGGGGAGAGAAAGAAGGCATTGAATTGGATGGGTTTGGAAATGGGGAGGTGTAGTGGGTAGCCATTCTAGCTTTGATCTGGAAGTTCCAACCCCCATTGAGGCTTCGGCAACTGTCACGCCTACAAGGTGGGGCCAAGGGAGGCGCCAAGAGATCTGGATGGGCCAGCACACTCTCTGTTCCTGGACCCTAGACGGTGGAGGTTGACCGAGCAGAGCTCCAGGGAACACCACTAGACTGCGATACACCTTCCCCAGACCCCGCGACCTACCTATCCCTTCATTTGTAAGTTACCCACTAAATAAATCTTCCTTTTAACTACGTGGAGCGGCCTTAATAATTTCACCAATAGGGAGGATCTGAGAGAGGAAGCTATGATCTGAATGTATTATATAAAAATATTTTCAATTAAAAAAGAGGGGGCCAGTAAGAATCATTCCTCCATGGTCTCTGTGTCAGTTCTTGACTCCAGGTTCCTGCCATGACTTTCTTCATGATGAACCATAACCTGTCAGATGAAACCCTTTCCTCTCCAGGTTGCTTCTGGTCATGCAATCCTCCTGCCTCAACCTTCTGAGTAGTTGGAATTACAGGCCTGTGCCACATCTCTTACATTCTTAAGGAACTTTGCAGTTATCCCCATAATCTGGTTCGCCCCAACAATTCAAGATAATTGCCCTATTTTAAACTCAACTGATTAGTACGTTTCACTCCATCTGGAACATAAATTTTTCTTTCCTTGTGACATACCATATGCCCTCTTCTGGAGACAGGGACATTTATGAGTGAGCACTATTTCAGCACAGTCAACAACATTGACTTAATGCCTTTCTCTATAGTGCATTCCTGGTGGGAGGCATGTACCATGGTTTCTTAAAGAGCTCAATAAGGCTGAGTCCCAGCTACCCTCCATGCTTAGCCCTCAATTAGTATCCCTTGGAGCTTTCCTCCCTTCCTAGTTTCTTTCGGCCCACTTAAAGTTTCTGGGGTCAGTCCCCAAATAACCCCTTATCCCTAATTCTTCTGTGAGATTCACCTCATGGGACTGTTAACTAAGATAGCAACCAAGAAAATGACTGACTTAGCCTGAGCCCTACACACACACACACACACACCCCAGGAAAAAACATCCTCCTACCTCAGGGGCCTGTGGAGAGGCAGCTTCTAAAATGCTTTATATAGGAGGCACACCCTATATGGTAATAGGTTCTTAACAAAGATGAGCTACTGCCAGAGGACTGTAAGATGTGTGTTTGTGTGTGGGTATGTGTACATGAGTGGGGGTGCCTGCCGGGTGTTAAGTCTCTGAGACAAATGGCTGAGGCGTCCACCAGGTTCTCCCAGCATCCCTCAGTCTCTACCTGTTTAGTTAGCATACCCCACCCTCTATGCCCAACAACTCTACAGCCCAATAGGAAAGGGCTGCCCCTCCCCAGGCTCTTCCATATATATTCCAGCCATTTTGGTTACCTGCCCCCCCCACACACACACACTTTTTTTACCTTTTGCCCTCCTGGCTGCTGCACCTGGTTCCCCTCTCTCCCGTCTCCTCACATAGATTAATAGAAATGGGTTGATTTAAGATTTAATAGCTAGCTAGCAAGAAGTCTGAGCCATAGACCAGTTTGTAATTAATATAAGCCTCTGTGTGTTTATTTGGGACTGAATAGCTCCAGGAACGGTCGAGACAGAAACTTCTACCTACATACAGTAAACTTTCTCCTCCACCATACCTAGGAGCAGTCATGTCCTTTCTTTTTTACTTCTTTTCATTCACCAGGGAGGCCAGAGGTCTCGGATCCCTTTGGAATTTGAGTTACAGGTGACTGAGCTACCTGCTGCTGCTAGAGGGGTATTCATTTCTAAGCTATGCGCCATCTCTCAGCTCCATGACTGGGTACTCTAAAAGTGGTATAAATCATTGGATGGTGGTGGTGCACGCCTTTAATCCCAGCTCTCAGGAGGCAGAGACAGGTGGATCTCTGAGTTCAAGGCCAGCCTGGTCTTCAAACTGAGTTCCAGGACAGCCAGGGCTACACAAAGAAACCCTGTCTTGAAAAACCAAAAGAAAAAGAAAAGTGGTATAAATCAATTTTCCAGGTTCTGGAAACTGGTAACTTGAAATTAGGTGTCAATGTGAAACAGAACAGAAGAACAGAGAAAACCAGGAGATATGGAGAAGGAAACTCTCCACGGTTAAGAATCCCAGCACGCCGGGCGGTGGTGGCGCAGGCCTTTAATCCCAGCACTCGGGAGGCAGAGCCAGGTGGATCTCTGTGAGTTCGAGGCCAGCCTGGGCTACCAAGTGAGTTCCAGGAAAGGCGCAAAGCTACACAGAGAAACCCTGTCTCGAAAAACCAAAAAAAAAAAAAAAAAAAAAAGAATCCCAGCACAACAGCATTCAGGAGGCAGAGGCAGGCAGATCTCTGAGTTTGAGGCCAGCCTGGTCTGCATGAGTTCCAGGACAGCCAGGACTACATAGTGAGACCCTGTCTCAGGTAAAAAGAAAGCGGGACTGGTGGGATGGCTCAGCAGTTGAGACCGTGCACTGTCTTGAAGAGGACCTGAGGTCGGTTCACAGCACCCCTGTTGGGTGGCTCTCAACTGCCTGTAACTCCAGCCCCATGAGATTTGACTTACCTGGCTCCTTCAGGTCCTAGCACTCATATGCACATACCCACACAGAGACACATAAACATCATTTAAAATTCAGTCTTTAAAAAGAATTTCGCCGGGCGGTGGTGGTGCACACCTTTAATCCCAGCACTCGGGAGGCAGAGGCAGGCGGATCTCTGTGAGTTCGAGGCCAGCCTGGGCTACCAAGTGAGTCCCAGGAAAGGCGCAAAGCTACACAGAGAAACCCTGTCTCGAAAAAACCAAAAAAATAAAAAAAATAAAAAGAATTTCAACATAGTCAACAACATTTACTTAATGCCTTTCTCCCTTCCCAGCTGTACAGCTGTGATTTTCTTAGAATCTTGCCAGAAAACCCCTTTCCAGTAAAGGAACATTGTCCTAATCTCCTTCTGCAATCCTAACAACATCTAGATTGACCTAATCAGATTATAATCCCATGGAGGCACCACTGAAGCTAATATTAGGCATGGAAGAGAGAAAAGGAAAAAAATTCTTAGCAACCCTCTGCGATGCTCCTTGAAAGCCACAGAAGGATACATAAGTCTCCTGCTTAGACACTTAATTGCTACTCTCCTTTGAGGAGCCCACACACTTGGGTGTGTCTTCATTCCCAGAGCACGTTCTCTCTTAACTCCTCCATCCCCGTTTCAGATCTGTGTTAGGAGCTGGAGAGATGGCTCAGGGGTTAAGAGCACTAGTTGCTCTTCCAAAAGGACCTGCGTTTAATACCCAGCACCCACACGGCAGTTCACAACTGTCTGTAACTCCAGTTCCAGGGTACCTGGAATCCTCACACATACAGGCAAAACCCCAATGTACAGAAATAAACAAATTTCAAAAAAAAAAAAATCTGTGTTTAATACGCTATTTAATAATCGATGACTCCCAAGAAGCCCATACTCTTTGCGCTGGGTGTGCTTTATTCTTTGTCTGTTTTTCATACACTCATTCTTCTGACCAGTCCTGAGGTGATTTTGTGTGGAAGCCAGGGATCTGGTTTTACCAGCGTCAAGGTCCCTAACCGATCAGGGGAAATTCCTCAGGTTGCAGTGGTGACGGTGCTGAACTGTGTCCGTCCCTGTGCTGGAGCTAGCTTCTTCTGTTCTAGGGAAGACACCTTCCTTGCCTCTTCCAGAAGCGAGTGTTGGTGGGCTGTCCTTGAGCTGTTTCCTTGTGGTTGCATCACTCTCCATTCCTGGCCACTGTCTTCACAGAGCTGTCTTTTATGTGCCCATGTCTCCAAAAACACATTTTAAGAAAATAAATTATTTATGTGTAGTGTTTTTGCCTGCATGTATGTATATGCACCACATCCATGCCTAGTTGCTTCGGAATATTTGACTATGCAAAGATGTGTTGCATTTGTTTAACTATGTAAAGATGTGTTGCATTTGTTAATGTTTCAGAATATTTTTTTAACTATATAAAGATGTGTTGCTGTTTCACCTTGCCTGCCTAAGGCACCTGACTGGTCTAATAAAAAGGCTGAATGGCCAATAGAGAGAGGAGGTATAGATGGGGCTTCTGGGCAGAGAGAGTAAGTAGGAGTAATTTAGGCTCAGGGAAGAAAGAAAAGGAGACGACCCACCGAGACGCCAGGGGTCAGCCAGCTAGACATGGAGGAAGCAGCAAAGTAAGACCTACAGAATGAAAGAAAGGTAAAAAGCCCCAAGGCAAAACGTAGATGAATAGGAACAGGTTAAATTAAGTTAAAAGAGCTAGTGAGACAAGCCTAAGCTAGGGCTGAGCATTCATCATTAATAATAAGTCTCTGTCTTTATTTGGGAGCTGGTTGGTGGCCCAAAGAAAATGCCAACTATACTTAGTGCCCAAGGAGGTCTGAAGAACACTTCCAGCCATGGAACTGGAGTTAGAGATAATGATAATGAACATGTGGTGCTGGAAATCAAACCCAGGTCCTTTGCAAGAGCACCAAGTGCTCTTAACCACTCAACACCTCAGTACCCCTCCCTCTTTTTTTTAAAAACGCAGGTCTCACTTTGTAGCCTAGGCCGGCCTAAAACTCAAATCCATGACCTGCCTCTGCTTTACAAGTGCTGGGATTGCAGGTTTGTACCAACACGTCTGGCTGTCTTTTTTCTTTTGGCATGTTTGTGTAGCTGCCTGTGTGTCGGGTGTGATGCACATGTGGAGGAGTAGAGGATAACCTTAGGTGCCAGCCCTCCCCTGCCTTTCTACCTTATTTCAGACAAGATCGCTTCCCTGCTGTGCAAGCCAGGCTGGCTGCCTCCCACCTCCCCATACATATACTAGGACTACAGACACCTGCACTACAGCTTTTATGCCTGTTAAGTGGACTTTTATATGGGATGGGGGATTGGATCCCAGGTTATTAGGCTCGTACAGCAAACACTTATTCCCACAGAACCATCTCCCCATCCTGATCCCTTTTCCTTAGAACACTTCCAGCCATTAGATTTTGTTTTGTTTTGTTTTCTGAGACAGGGTCTCTCTGTAGCTTTGGAGCCTGTCCTGGAACTCACTCTGTAGACTAAGCTGGCCTAGAACTCACAGAGATCTGCCTGCCCCTGCCTCCTGAGTGCTGGGATCAAAGGTGTGCACCACCACCGCCCAGCCAGCCATTAGATTTATCCCTAATGATAGGCCATCTGAATTTATCCCGATTCATTTTAACTTGATTTCATTTGCAAAGACTCCATTTCTACAAGAGTTCTTTAGTACTGTTGTTTTTGACAATGCTAGAGATGGAACCCAGAGCCTCACACATGCTAGATCATCACTCTACTAGTAAGCTAAATTCCAGCTAGCCCTATTTCTAAATGAGGCCACATTCACACGCACTGTGCAAGTGTGGTAGGACTTGAACATCTCTTTGAGAATGGAAGGATACAACCAACTCACTGCACCTGCCAGATGTAACTTTAAAGGGTAGCTGGTAAAGTTTTATTTTTAGTAAGTCTCAGCATGGTAGTACAAGCCAGAGGAACTCCATTTCAGATGGAGCCAGTAGAACCTGAGGATATTAGGGAGGTGGCTCCCTGGAATGGGGTTCTGAGGACCTCTTTAGGGGAGCCCTTAGGAAGGACAGGTTGACAAGAAAAAAAGCTTAGAGGGAATGTGGTAGCAAAGCAATACACGTGGAAAAGGCATCATGTAGCACAAGAGGGACTGTGGCCCACTGGATCAGCTGGCCTCACAGGTCTAGTGCTGCCCCAGATGAATTAGGGCGTCTGTGGATCCATCAAGAGACTCCTAGACTCCAGGAGTTTGGGGATTGGAGTGTAGAGCTCTGTGGTAGAACTCTTACCTAGCACGCACAAGGCCCTGGGTTCCATCCCCCAGAACTGTGAGACAGGCAGAGAACTGTTTCAGAGCTGCTGAAGAGCTCCAGCCCACGGTCAGCGGAAGGAAGGGATGCATCTGAAGTACTTACTTACAGGTAGGGAAGAGCCTTTGGCTCACCCAGGCCTTGCATTTCCAAGTGTGCTGTGCTGGGTCCATGGTCTCCCTCTGCAATAATCCTACTTCTCTTTGAGGTAGGATTTACTTGCTGATGGTACAGAGATTTGCATCTCAAACCCCAAACTGGCTTCCCAATTGCCTGGAGTATTCAGTACAGAACTCGGTATCTGGAAGGCTGAGACTTGTTTGCTTCCCAGTGGTTCCCATATCAGAAGCATCACTCACTCACTAGTCATCCAGTCCCCAAAATTAAAAACTGGGGGATCTTACTCCTCTCTTCCGTACATATTCAATCCCATCAAATCCTTTCCTGTGGCTGTCCCCCCACCACCACCTTTCAATTCAAGTACATGTACAGCCTTAGTACGGTTTCACAATAACCCGATAACCAGAGCATGGCTTCTTCATCTCCATTGGGAAAGAGCATCCTTCAACATTATCACAGAGCTAAAACTCCTTGGAGTGACACACAAATCTCTACTGACCTCTGCTGTGTCATGAATCCCCCACATCTTAAAGCCCCCCCCTCTTGCAAAATAAATAAAATCACTTTTTCAAACTGAGAGTAAAAAAAAAAAAGTCACATTGCTCAAAATGCAAACTCAAATTTAAAGATACAAAGGTATCTTTATAACCCTCTCCCTCTGGTTCCAGAGCCCTGGAGTGGTACCTGGTGTTTGTGCCCTCTCTCCCGACCATTCACAGGAAACTCCATGTTCATCAACAATAAAGCGATGTTCAGAAGTCTAACGATAAGGAGCTCAGGTGCTACTGTATTCTCCCAAATGTATTGTGGAGAAAAAAACACAAAGACAGGAGGCACTTGCGTCCATCTGGCCACACTTTGCATCCTAGATTCCAGTCCTAAGAAACTGGCAAACGGCAATTTCAGGAATTAAAAGGACATCTTCGTAACATGCAAACCTAAAACAGCCGTAAAAGCCCAGTTCGGTTACCCCCAACAATTCTGCTCCCAAATAATTTGGAATACGAGGACATATATCCAAACCAAGTTCGCGCTGCTCAGCTTTCCAGGGAAGTCCTTCAAATGAAAGCACTTTGTATCCGCAATGCATTACCAAGTCGGAAATCTGAAGTTACTCCATGAAATGAAACTGCATCACCAATGTCAATTCAAGCACACGGGATTAGTCTGCCATGTTTACTAGGACATGGGAAGAACAAATGATGCAACCGGGCAACATAAACTCCCCCTTCCCCAAAATGCGCATCAAATATTCAAGAAACTTTACAGGGCATGTGCACATTTCACTGGGAGTCCCCTGAACTGCGGAGCTAGGCTTAAACAATAGAACGAGGAAAAAGATGGGAGTCACTGAGAATGAAGCGCGGGTTTAAGTTGATTTTCAAACGTCTCACTGGGGCTGAGGCGTTTGTCCTTGGCTCCCGCACTCCTCTGTAAATTGTTCCCACGGTCACTGGCTCGAAGCAGCAGAGATGCGGGAGCAGGTACCGCGTCCCGCGGGTGTTGCGGGGGTCGCACCCCACCAGGTTGTGCAAAAAACACTCTGGTGCTCTCCCGCGGATCAGAGGGGTGCGAAAGTCGATGGCCCCATCACTCAAGATTGCTATAAACGCAACTCGCAACTTTTGAAATCAATCTACCCCCCTCTTTTTTTTTTTTTTTTTCTTTTTTTGCATCATGCAACGGATGCCACCGTTCCTTGGGTTTGCAACCCCCCACCCCTCCCCCGAGACCAATCATTGCCGCGCTCGGGCCTCTGCACAGCGCCCCCGCCCCCTTCCCGGGCCGCACGCAAGCCACCACCGCCGCCGCCACCGCCACCAGCAACACGGAGCCGCTCCGGCCACCGGCCCGCCGCCTCTTAAAGGGAGGTGGCCGCTCTTAAAGGGACCCTCGCGCGCCCGGCCGGCGGGAGCGCGGCGGCCCGGTTCCCGGAGGGCCGCGCCCAGCCTAGGCCGAGCTCCACGCGGCGTCCAAAGCGCGGGGCCGTGCCGCCGCCACCGGGAGCAGCATTTTTATTCAGGCGACGCTTAAGGGAGCCCGGCGCGCCCGGTGCATTGTGGGAGCGCCGCGGCCCGTTTTCGGGAGGAGGCGGAGGGCGCAAAGCGAGCCGGTAAGCGGCGGGCCTGGCGAGGGGGGGCGAGACAGCAGGCTTAAAGGGGAATATCGGGCCGCAGGCCCGGCGCGGCCGTTGCAAATCCCCCTCCGGGCCGCCCGGGACGGCCGGGGAGCCGTGCACCGGGGCCCTTCGCGCGCCCTGCCTGGAGAGGGGCCGAGCCCAGGGTTTGGTGGGGCCGCTTTAAAAAAGAAGCGCCGCCCGCGCCGCTGCCTCCTCCGCCGTCGCCGCCGCCGCCGCAGCACGCGGGGCCGGGGAAGGAGGGAGGAGCGGAGGGGGAGGGCGGCGGCGGCCACGCAGGGGTTAATCTTTTCGCCCGCCGACATTTTTGTGTGGCGGCGCGGACGGGGAGCCCGCCCGCCCGCGCGCGCACGCAGCGCCGCAGCCGCCGGTGTCCTGGCGCTGCGCCTTGGGCCTCCCCCGCCCCCACTCGGCCCTCGTGTCCCTCCGGTCCCCGGCGACGGCGCCGGGCCTGTGGCGTGGCATGGCCCTGCCCGCGGCGCGGCACCGTACAAAGAACGCGGCCCGCGCCCGCCGCCGTGCCTTTAAAGGCGGCAGCCCGAGATTTAAGGTGTCCCCTGAGTGGCATCCTCCGCGTCCGGCCCCATGGAGGGCGCGGGGCTTCGGCACGCACGCCGCCGCTCCCGGGCCTGTGTGCACGCGCGGGGCCCGGGGACGGGCGGCGAGGTAGGTCTGCCGCCCCGCTGCACCCCGTTGCCTGAGCCCGCCCCGCGCGCGGGAGCGAAGGGGTTAAACGCGATCTTTAAATATTCATGTCATTGTTTTAAAGGTGTAAACATGTGGCTTCCAGGTTGGACTTAACTCTCCTCAAAGCACATCCCAATTTCATGCTCCCCGAATAGCCGGAGTTGCCTTTGAGGATAAGCCCATGTGACTTAACGTCCCCGTCGACTTGAGTTTTCGAACTGAGTTTTCTTGCTGTAAGGTGTTTTTAAACTTTTCTAGCCAGAAAGTGTTGAGAAATATAACGTGCAAAAAGAAAGGGACTCTGCAGAATTCCCTCTCCTTCCTTTGGCTTGAGGGCATAGGATTGGAGGTAGGAAAACAGATTCCTTATGCAAATAGGGTTTTCCGGTTTCGTACCTGGTAGAGATGAGGCAGGGTTAAATGCAAGTTTTTGTTTGTTTGGTTAGTTGGTTGGTTTTTGAGAGGGAGTTTGCTGTTCCAAACCTTTCTTCGAAGTTGAATTGTAATTCGCACTTTTTCCGAACTAGCATCAAAATCCCCACTCTTGGTAACTTGCTTGGTTCACATCGCTCTCTAGAGAAGTTTGGTTTCTTTGAATGATGTATGAAGTCTGTGCCTGTAGTTTCCCGCTGAAATCATTCTCTTGTCACGTTTGTAACAACAGTTTGGATTACTGCCCAAATTTGGTTTTTGTGAAATTTATTTTAAATGAGTGATTCCTGGGGGATGGAAAACTCTGTAAGTGGGAATTATGATCTCGATCATAAATTTTATAGGAGAAATCGTTCCTAAAACTTGAGTTGTATGTAATCCTATGCCCAATAAAGCATCAGTCAGAAAGTTTGTAAACCCTGGGAGCACTTACTGAGTTTTGATTTGGATGGAAGGCTGCAAACAGAGGAGCTTGTGCTAGAAATGTAGCGAGTGGTACCCAGAACCGTAATACTAGTGATTTGGTGTGATACTGTTTCATTTTGTAATGAGCTAGTAATGAGCAGTAGTTTTTTGTCAATGGTATGTGTACTGGTTTGTTGGGCGGGACGTTTGCTTTCTAGGAATGCTAAAAACATCAGAGAACTTTGCAAAGCACTCTTGAACACAGACCTCACTGTGTTTTACAGCCGTTGGAAGTGTTTGTTATTTTGTTTTTTAAGTAGTGTCTTTCGGTGACTTCTCCCATTAGTTTGGTACTGTGTTGTCTAGTTGGGAAGGAAACCTGTTTTTAAAATCAGAATTTAATGTCTTGAAGAATTTTGTCAGGCATAGGGGTGGACACCTTTAAGCACTTGGGAGGTAAAAGCAGGTGCATCTCTGTGAGGCCAGTCTGGTCTACATAGTGAATTCCAGAACAGTCAGAACTATGTAGAGGGACTCTGTCTCGATTTAAAAAAAAAAAAATCCATGGGATGCGTTTGTGTCCTGCTTTCTGCAGTTTCTGGTGGCTGTTTTATTATTATGTGTGAAGTTTTTCAGGAAAGTCACAGTAGCTAGCACGTCTGTCTTCCAAAGCATAGAACTTTCAGTCTGACAAACAGTACACACCAGTTCTCTTAACCCTGTACCCCAGAAGAACTTTGGAGAGTAACTGCCCACTTGGCAGGTGTCACATGAGCGTGCCCTCGGAGCCACCATTGTAACCACACTCCCACCATCGATCGGGTCTTCACTAGGTGTCTATGATGGTATCCATCACCTGGTACTCCAGCTTGACTGACAAAGTATTTCCCTGTGGTCTAGGCAAGTCCAGTCCTTGTACCTTTCTCTAATGGGTATTCATTCACTTGATTCTTGACAGATACCAGTTCAGAGTCTTTTAACAGTGACTTTTTGTGTTTTGGTGGTACCTAGGTGGATCACAACTAGAAAGGCCAGTGGATCAAGAGAGAGGGAGGGGAGGGGCTGAACTGTGAAGACTGTGGCCCCAGAACCATGTCTACTCGGGAGTCCTTTAACCCGGAAAGTTATGAGTTGGACAAGAGCTTCCGCCTAACCAGGTTTACAGAACTGAAAGGCACAGGCTGCAAAGTGCCCCAAGATGTCTTGCAGAAATTGCTGGAATCTTTACAAGAGAACCACTTCCAAGAAGATGAGCAGTTTTTGGGAGCTGTTATGCCACGGCTTGGTATGTATACCATCTCTTTGATACTCTGCCACCCAGAAGTGTGGTCAACAGTTAACAACCAGGTTTCCCCCTGTGTTGCTTCGTTCTGGCAGGGGATCTCAATAGCCAGTGTAACTGGTAATGCCACTTATTTAAAGGAAGAATTTGAAAAGTATCAGGGCATGTGGTTGGCAAGTTTTAAATTATAGGGTATATGTGTGACATCGTTATACTACAGTAAGACTTTTTTTACTTTAATTTTTTGGTTAGCTGAGGATAAGCAGAAACTCCTTTCTGTCCTTTCTCTCAAATGACCTCTACAATGCTATGTTCTCTTCATTGCCCTAGTGAAGGTGTTGCCCTAAGGGCGGTGACTAGGGGTTCTTGGCAGGTGTTTGGGTTGCAGACTTGAGATGGGCCACACAAGACTGCAGCAGACTCAGGACAGAAGACTGGGGGAATAGCTCGGGGACCTCAGTGAGTTGGATCCTCCGTACTCATATCTTTAAAAGTAAGGGGTGTGTGGGTGTGTGTGTGTGTGTGTGTGTGTGTGTGTGTGTGTGTGTGTTGGAGTATGCTTGTAATCCCAGGGCAGGAAAGGAAGAGACAGGTGTGTCCACGGGGCTTGCTGGCCAGTCTAGCCTACTTGCTGATTCTCAGGCCAGTGACTGTCTCAAAAAGAGGTGAGCCATGTCTGAGCACTGACACCTGAGGCTGTGCTCTGGCCTGCACATGCATGTACACACATGCATTTGTACCCACACCCATCATCCGTACACATGCACACAAAGGAGAGAAGACAGCATGAATTTGAAGTTGACCCCAGAGTGCCAACTGGAGCTAGGGCAATGTTGTTTTCTTTTCTTAGTTCTTTGTATCATTAGTGGTTTCCCTTTCTCAAACACAGAGCTCAGAAGAAATTCTAGGCTCTGAAATACAGTTCTTTGGGTGTATTTTATTATATGCATGATGTAAAACAGGCAGGAGCTGATGCAGGGGCCATTGAGGAGTGCTGGTTTGTGGGGGTTTTTTTTTTGGAGCTGAGGACAAACCCAGGGCCTTGTGCTTGCTAGGCAATTGCTCTACCACTGAGCTAAATCCCCAACCAAGGAGTGCTGTTTACTGGCTTGCTCAGCCTGCTTTCTTAAAGAACCCAGGACCACAACCCAGGGCTAGCATCACCTACAATGGCTGGGTCCTCCCCCATCAATCACTAATTGAGAAAATGCCCTACATACAGCTGGATCTTATGGAGGTATTTTCTTTCTTTCTTTCTTTCTTTCTTTCTTTCTTTCTTTCTTTCTTTCTTTCTTTCTTTCTTTCTTTCTTTCTGACATAATTTTCTAATTATTGATTCTTTGAGAATTTCATCACGTTCACCCCAATCCCATTCATTTCTCAGTCCTTCCATGTCTGCGCCACCCTTGTGGCCTCTTCCTCAAAAGAAAACAAACAAGCAAAAGACAGCAACAAAGATTTTGCTCCTCTGTCTTTTCCCTCCTCTTTATCATCTATTCTTTTTGCCGTAATGCTCTTGGGAGCCACGGTGTGTCACACGGTCTACCCTTTTGCCCAAACAGCTTCACTTGCAAATGTTCATTGTGATGAGTTGTTGGTTGGTTAAGACCTCTGGCTTCTGCTACACCATCAATACTGGACTCTCACCAAAACTTCTCTCAGATATCTTGCTGTGCTCCAGCCATGGAGATCCAGTGGCTATGGTTCTGCAGACTGGTCCCTTCACACATTTCAG